AATAAATGATAAATGATAATGAAATTAGCAGACATATCTGACTCAGCAGCAGTGTCCCTGGATGAAAATTATTGGTATTATGTCATATAAACTAAGAGTGACACATGTGCAATGCAAAGCAATCTTATAATATTACCCAATTGAAAGAAATGATAAAGTGCAGATCTGACTCAGCAGCAGAGTGTCCCTAGATACAAATCATTGGTATTATGTCATAGAAAATAAGGGTCACACACATGCAATGCATAGCAGTCTTATATTATACCCCAATAGATAGGTTGTAGTTGGACAGTAATACAAAGTGCAGATGTATCTGACTCAGCAGCAGTGTCCTTGGATGAAACTAATTGGTATTATGTCATATAAAATAAGAGTGACACACATGCAATGCATAGCAATCCTATATTATTGCCCAGTTAAATGGATTGGTAGTGGCTGGACATTAAAGAAGTGAACAGATTAATCTGATTTAGCAGCAGTGTCCCTGGATGAAAATAAATGGCATCTATGTCATATAAAATAGGGGTCACACGCATGCAATGCATAGCAGTCTTAGATCATACCCCATTTAATGGATCAGTTGTAGTTGGGCAGTATTACAGGTACCGTAGCACCGTCAATTTATGCAACACTTTATATATACCCATATATTGTACATTCACATCAGTCCCTAACCCTCAAGGGGCGTACAGTCTAAGGTCCCTAACTCACAGACATACATACACATACTAGGGCCAATTTAGACAGGAGCCAATTAACCTACCAGCATGTCTTTGGAGGGTGGGAGGAAACCGGAGTATCTGGAGGAAACGCACACAGTCACGGGGAGAACATGCAAACTCCAAGCAGGTGGTACAGTAATGTGCAGATTTATCTGACTCAGGAGCAGAGTGTCCCTGGATGAAAATCATTGGCATCTGTGTCATAAATAATAAGGGTCATTAGTTTGAATCGCAACCATGACACTACCTTCCTGGAATTTGCATGCTCTCCCTGTGGCTGCATGGGTTTCCTCCGGGTACTCTGGGTTTCCTCTCACACTCTAAAAACATGCTGGCAGGTTAATTGGCCCTAGTATGTGTATGTATGGATGTAAGTTAGGGACCTTAGATTGTACACCCCTTGAGGGTTAGGGACTGATGTGAATGTACAATATATCTAAAGCTGTGTAAATTGACAGCGCTATATAAGTACCTGAAACAAAATAAATAAATAAGGATCACACACATGCAATACATAGAAATGTAAGGAATAAATAGCAGTTGGACAGTAATAAAATGAACTCTTATCTGACTCAGGAGCAGAGTGTCCCTGGATGGAAATCATTGGCATCTATGTCATATGTAATCAGGGTCACACATGCAATGCATAGTAATCTTAGATTATACCCCAATTTAATGGATCGGTTGTAGTTAAACAGTGCAGTTCAGATCTACCTGACTCAGCAGCACAGTGTCCCTGGATGAAAATAAATGCCATCTATGTCATATACTATAAGGGTCACACACATGCAATGCATAGCAACCTTATAGCACAATTTAAAATATAAATAGCAGTTGGAGAGTAATGAAATGAACTGCCTTATCTGCCTCAGGAGCAGAGTGTCCTTGGATGAAAATCATTGGCATCTATGTCATATGTAATCAGGGTCACACGTGTGCAATGCATAGTAATCTTAGATTATACCCCAGTTTAATGGATCGGTTGTACTTAAACAGTACAGTTCAGATCTACTTGACTCAGCAGCAGAGTGTCCCTGGATGAAAAATATTGGTATTATGTCATAGAAAATAAGGGTCACACATGCAATGCATAGCAGTCTTAGATTATACCCCAGTTTAATAGATAGGTTGTAGCTGAACAGTAATGCAAAGTGCAGATTGATCTGGCTCAGCAGCAGAGTGTCCCTGGATGAAAATAAATGGCATCTATGTCATATAAAATAAAGGTCATACACATGCAATGCATAGCAATCTTAGATTATACCTCAATTTAATGGATCGGTTGCAGTTAAACAGTATAGTGCAGATCTGACTCAGCAGCAGAGTGTCCCTGGATGAAAATCATTGGCATCTATGTCATATGTAATCAGGGTCACACGTGTGAAATGCATAGTAATCTTAGATTATACCCCAATTTAATGAATCGGTTGTAGTTAAACAGTACAGTTCAGATCTACCTGACTCAGCAGCAGAGTGTCCCTGGATGAAAAATATTGGTATTATGTCATAGAAAATAAGGGTCACACGTGCAATGCATAGCAGTCTTAGATTAGACCTCATTTAATGGGTAGGTTGTAGTTAAACAGTAAAGTGCAGATTTATCTGACTCAGGAGCAAAGTGTCCCTGGATGAAAAATCTGGGTATTATGTCATATGCAATCACGGTCACACACATGCGATGCTGCATAGCAATCTTACAGCCGAAACTAACAAATAAGCAGCAATTGGTCAGTACTGAAATGAACAGATTTATCTGACTCAGCAGCTGAGTGTCCCTGGATGAACATCATTGGCATCTATGTCACATGTAATCAGGGTCACACACGTGCCATGCATAGCAATCCTGCCTATGTCATCTAAGTTCACAGAGAGCAGAAGGCAGACAGGAGGGGGATCCCTCTACCCCTTTCCCGTAACTCACCGCCTTGGGCAGTCCACACTGTCCCGTGTCCATGGGCAGCCTCCTGCACTGTCCCTCCTGCAGCATGAGCAGAGTGCCCAGTACAAAGCACAGCAGTCCAGTCCTGGTCCTCATGGTTCCCAGTAAAGCTCAGATCCCTTCTCTCCTCATCCAACAAGTGCCGACAATTCGGAGCCGATCACAGGCTGGGGAAGAGTGGCAGCGCAGCGCAGAGCTGGTCCATGGCTCACACAGGGACTGGTGGTGGAGGGGTGCCGGGCACACAGGGACTGGTGGTGGAGGGGTGCGGGCACACGGGACTGGTGGTGGAGGTGTGCCGGGCACAGGGACCGGCGGTGGAGGGGTGCCGGGCACAGGGACTGGTGGTGGAGGGGTGCTGGGCACAGGAACCGGCGGTGGAGGGGTGCCGGGCACAGGGACTGGTGGTGGAGGACTGCTATGGGCACATGAAGGCGGCTGCAGCTCTGCATGTCACATCACACTGCGGACCAGCTGGGACTTTACAAAGTTCGCGGAGTCCCATCCTGAACTCAGCACACACCGCCCACTAGAGGGGGCCGACACAAGGCTCTCCGCGGCTGGATCCTCCCCGACACCCTGCGCTCAGCTCAATCATTAACTCCAGCAGATGCTGAACACTGCAGGTCCCTATAGCAGTCCTCACCAGTCCTTATCATAGGACACACCTCACCAGTCCTTATCATGGGAAGAAGCACACACCTCACCAGTCCTTATCATGGGACACGCCTCACCAGTCCTTATCATGGGAAAGAAGCACACCTCACCAGTACTTATCATGGGACACGCCTCACCAGTCCTTATCATAGGAAAGAGCACATCTCACCAGTCCTTATCATAGGAAAGAGCACACCTCACCAGTCCTTATCATGGGAAAGAAGCACACCTCCAGTCCTTATATGGGAAGAAGCACACCTCACCAGTCCTTATCATGGGAAGAAGAGCACACCTTATCATAGGACACACCTCACCAGTCCTTATATGGGAAAGAGTGCACCTCACCAGTCCTTATCATAGGAAAGAGCGCACCTCACCAGTCCTTATCATGGGAAAAAGCACACCTCACCAGTCCTTTATCATGGGAAAAGCAGCTCACACTCCTTATCATGGGGAAAGAGCGCACCAGTCCTTATCATGGGAAAGAGAGCACCTCTCCAGTCCTTATCATGGGGAAAAGCACACTCACCAGTCCTTATCATGGGGAAGAGCTCACTTCACCAGTCCTTATCATGGGGAAGAGCTCACTTCACCAGTCCTTATCATGGGGAAGAGTGCACCTCGCCAGTCCTTATCATGGGGAAGAGCGCACCTCACCAGTCCTTATCATGGGAAAAAGCACACCTCACCAGTCCTTATCATAGAAAAAAGAGCACACCTCACCAGTCCTTATCATGGGGAAGAGCGCACCTCGCCAGTCCTTATCATGGGAAGAAGCACACCTCTCCAGTCCTTATCATGGGGAAAAGCACACCTCGCCAGTCCTTATCATGGGGAAGAGCTCACTTCACCAGTCCTTATCATGGGGAAGAGCTCACTTCACCAGTCCTTATCATGGGGAAGAGTGCACCTCGCCAGTCCTTATCATGGGGAAGAGCTCACCTCACCAGTCCTTATCATGGGGAAGAGCTCACTTCACCAGTCCTTATCATGGGGAAGAGCTCACTTCACCAGTCCTTATCATGGGGAAGAGTGCACCTCGCCAGTCCTTATCATGGGGAAGAGCGCACCTCACTAGTCCTTATCATGGGAAGAAGCACACCTCACCAGTCCTTATCATAGGTCCTTATCAAAGAGCACACCTCACCAGTCCTTATCATGGGAAGAAGCACACCTCGCCAGTCCTTATCATAGGGAAGAGCACACCTCATCAGTCCTTAAAGCAGTATTAAACCTGAAATTAAACTTCTATTATATTGTAACATACAATTCTTCGATATGACGGCTGCATTCATTTTTTTTTTTTAGGCTTTCTTACCTTTATTTTCACCTGGTGATCTGGCCAGTAACGGCTGCTTCACGCCATTCGCATGCACATGTGCAATTCATATGCAGTGCGATTTCAGTCCACTCATTTGAATCGTCTGAAAGTGTGCCGGACCCAACAAACGTATTGCATGCACTAATGAGGCTGACTGGCAACTTGTGGCTCAGAGGGCAAGTCCATCCAGAGGCCCAGGGTGCAGTGACTCGGCCCTCCTCCTGACCCCAATCACAGGCTGAAGCTCCACTCCAGGTAGTTTCTGCTCACCTGGGTGGGTCAGGCTGGACGGCGCCTGTTGCACCGACTACGGGTTCCTGAACTGGGCAGCAGGAGGTGGCCGGGCAATTCATTCAGGACTGGCCTAAGGAGGAGAGCATCCAGTAGGGCACGGAGCCAGCCTCTGCTCAGACACGGCATACACCAGGGGTAGGCAACATTAAATAAAGAGGTGGAGGCAAGGGCGGACTGACAACTTATGGGGCCCCCGGGCAATAGGGGATCATGGGGCCCCTGTGTCCTTGCCCACACTCAGAATACACCCAAAAAAGCCTATAAATGGTACCAGGGGTATTTCATGGGGGCCCCTACTGACCCCGGGCCCTCGGGCAGTGCCCCGAGCGCTCGAATGGTGAGTCTGCTTCTGGGTGGAGGTCTACCAGAACAACATGGGGAGACGTCAAAGATCTCTGGGCAGTGTCGGCCAGTGTCCCCTCCTCACACCTGATTTAAACTTCTAATTGGCATACTATTATGTCACAATCATGGCAATCATGGGTGTAAATCAGGTGGTGTGAAGGCAACATATCTCCTCCTCACCACCTGTCAAACACACTCAGATCACTTTGCAGAGGATCCGCAGTGCCTGCTGTACTTGTGAAAGAGCCCTTAGTTGCATCACAGTAGCACTCTTAGGCCTCGTTCACATGTAAAGTTGGGGGGGGGGGGGTAAAACCTTGCAGCTGGGTCATGGTTTTACCATACCCAATCCCTACCACCTTTAGAGGATGAGGCAGCAGCCAAAGGTGTGCACATGCCACAGCAGGAACCACAGCAGGAATTACATCCCCTGTGGCTTTTGGTGGGTGCTACCACCAGTAAGTTAAGACCCATTCAAGTAACTGGGGCCACTCTGCAAGAGCCCCGCAACTGCATGCTTCTGCAGGGTCCAAGGGGGGTAAACCAGGTGGTGAGAAAGCAACACACTACTGCCCGTTTAACCCCTTGTTTGCTGTACTGCAGAAAGTTGCTGGGCACTTGCAGAGTAGCCTCATCCTTTTGAATGGGTCAGGCTTGGCACGTTGCACACCCACCAACCATGACAGGGCATAGGAGCCAACACTACAGAGGAGACGTCAGCTTATGCGGCTCCTGCTTCCTACTACAACTCCAACTTTACAAGTATTGCATTGTTGCACTTTGTTTGATGCTCTGGGATGGAGGGTCAGCAAGCCCTGGCCATGATCTATTGGTCACCTAGCCATGATCTACTGGTCACCTAGCCATGATCTACTGGTTGCTGACCCCCGGCGTGGATGGAGGGGGGAGGCCTGCATTCTGTGCTCATCTCTATCCCATGCTTGGTAGGCCATCTGCAAGGACTTTTTACTCTTCTTCACCAGGCATGTCTGCGGCGGAGGCAGCAGTGTGGCCTTTTTAAGGGGCATCAGAGTGGCCCAGGGGGCAATTGCCCCTCAGTCCAGTCCACCCCTGCATGCACTATTGTACAAAACACAGAGCAACCAGATCACATGGTACTTCTATACCATGCAATCTGGTGCAGGCAACCTGCGTTTGGGGTGTTGTTAGCATTCCACTGACACCCACTGCAGATCGCAAGTGCAATGCGTTTTCAACACACGCAGTGTTCAGGTGTGAACTTGCCCAGCCCATACATTATAGTGAGTTTGTTTTTTATTTTAGTTCAATCATCAAGTTGACTGACTGATCCCCAGATCAACACAAATGATGTGTGATGTCAGGATCTCCTCTGCAGTATCAGGACAGGTTCATCTAGACCCTAGGGCAAGGATGTGGAACTGCACCCCCTCCCCCACTGTTAATGCATGCCGTATAATGGGTTTACTGCCCTGTGTCTGTTCTCTGCACCCTTGCTCCTCTGTACCCCAGGCAGTTGTCCCTCCTGCCCACCCCCGTCCTGTCTCTGCTCCCATGATGTGCCATTGTATTCTGACAGTGGGGACTCCCACCAGAATACACTAGCCATTGCCTGAAAGCACTGTTTGGATGCTGGTTTCCCAGCAGGACTGTTCAACAGAAGCTCTTTATGATTTTGATATTGCTTTAACATGGGAAAGAGCAATCCTCACCAGTCCTTAAAGTAGAACTAAGCTCTGTTGTTTTTAATCCAGTATGCTTTCTTGACTTTAAAAAGTCCCTTCTATTACTCTCCTCCTTCTCCAAATCTCCAGATTCCTTCTGTTTGCTTCTGTGTTCCATCTTCCTGTTAGAAGATGGCTACATTTGTTCTTCATGGTCCCACTGTATGTAGGAACGTAGCCACCCTCTCTTGCTCACTCCAGAGATGAACTGTGGACTATGGGATTTGTAGTGTGCATAGAGCGGTGCACATGTCTACAACTAATGTGCACTTCTTGTTCCAAAGGAATGAAAGTGAGGGGGAAAAGAAGAGGTTGGGGAGCTCACAGTGGATGTTACAAGGAGGTATAGCTCACAGACAATCTAGCCAGCAAGAGAGGGGGGACATGTGCGTTCTCCATGGTCCCACCATATGGAGGAATGTAACCAGGGGCGGACTGACAACTCATGGGGCCCCCGGGCAATAGGGGATCATTGGGCCCCTGTGTCCTTGCCCAAACAAAAAAGCCTATGAAAAAGGTACCAGGGGCATCTCATGGGGCCCCCTACTGACTCCGGGCCCTCGGGCAGTGCCCGAGTTTCCATATGGTCAGTCCGCCCCTGAATGTAACCATCCTCTCTTGCTGGCTCCTGAGATGGACTGTGGACTATGGGGTTGATTTACTGAAAGGAAATAGGCTGTGCACTTTTCAAAGTGCAGTTGCTCCAGAGTTTAGTAAATGAGGGGAAGCTTCATTTTGCAAACAATACCCAATCACATGCAAGGGAAATAAATAAAAAAACAGAATTTTTGCTTGCACATGATTGGATGATGGAAGTCAGCAGAGCTTCTGCTCATTTACTAAGCTCTGGAACATCTGCACTTGCAAAGTGCACAGTCTATTTGCCTTTGATAAATCACCCGAATGTATTACTGGATTTCAAACTGTATATTCACTATTCTTACATACCAATACCTGCAGAAGTAGCCAGCCTGAGGTGATCTAGTAGGACTTCATTTTCTGACTAAAGTTTTACATTAGCATAAAATAAGATTTGGCATTAATGTCACTTTAACCCCTGCAGTGCTGGAGGATCCCCACTGCAAGGGGGCATTTTCCCTTACCCTGGAGCTGGGCTTTAACTACCAGAAACTAAGCTGCACTAAACCTTTCATCCACCCTTTTAAATTACTGGGGAAAATGTCAGGAAAACGGAAAAGTAGTGCTGAAAAAAAACATTTTTACCCGCCTCCCATCTACCCTATAGCAGAATTACTGCTACAGGGTGGCATGAGTGTGCAAAATCATATATATATATACAGACACACACACGTGATTTTGCATTTCCGGGTAGGGGCCGTGCGAGCCGTGTGTGCACCCTATTCGTGACGCCATTTTGCGGCTTCGGCTGTCAATCACCGGGACCCGGCCAGTGATTACTCGCCGTCGCACGGTGATTGTCAAGCATCTCCGACGGGGGGAGAACTGTTTCTCAGCAAAACAGTTCTCTCCCCTGTCAGCTCCTGCACACTGCTTTGCATGGCTCTGCATAGCACAGCCATACAAAGCAGGGTGCTTACAGTGAAGTACAAACATACAGCTCAGTATGTAAAACAGCACACAGTCAACCCTTTGATCGCCCCATATGTTAACCCCTTCCTGCACAGCGCCATTAATACAGTGTCAGTGCTTTTTATTAGCACTGATCACTGTATTAGTGTCACTGGGGAAGTCAGTGACACCAAGTCAGTTCCCCCCCAGTGTCAGAATGCCAGCCACAGTCCTGCAGTCCTGCTATAAGTTGCTGATTGCAGCCATTACTAGTCAAAATTAAAAAAAAAATCCCAGTTTATATACCGCCATTTGTAAACACTATAACTTTCACGTAAACCTATTCATTTTCACATATTGGGATTATTTTTTAGCACAGACATGCAGCAGAATACATTTTGGCCTAAATTTATGATGAAATTTGATTTTTTTAAATTTTTTTACTGGACATGTTTAATAGCAAAATGTCAAAAATATTGTTTTTTTTCCTCAAAATTGGCAGTCTTTTTTTTATAGCGCAAAAAATAAGAAACGCACAGGCAATCAAATACCATGGAAAGAAAGCTCTATTTGTGGGGAAAAAAAGAACATAAATTTCATTTGGGTGCAGCGTTGTATGACCGCGCAATTGTCAGTTAAATAACGCTGCGCTGTATCGCAAAAAATGACCTGGTCAGGAAGGGGGGTGAATCCTCTGGAGGGCAAGTATTAAATGGATGAGGTGGCAACCCTAAATCCAACTGAGATGCAAGTAAAATGTCAGTATTTCTAATGCTGGTAAATGTGTACACCTATCACTCTCTGTCTATATGTATCTGTATCTATTCCTGTCTTTGAATTTATAAATGTCTGTCTATGTCCACGCAAACATTTCCAAAGACACTTCTCATGTACCAATACTGACCCCCCTCCAGAGTCTAGTTTATTGCATTTTAAAGAACTCTCCTGATTATGAGAAAAACAAAATACTTCATATCCTTGATAACATCCCATCTTTAGGCGTCCGTTTATAAAAAAGAGAAAAGCCGAGATGCTGATGATCAAAGCTGATCTCTCAGGTATGCCAGTTTATGAAGCTCAGGTGAGGCGTGGAGAACATTTTCTTCTCTTCTCACCACAGGATACACCCTTCTGTCATTCACTTTTAGCCCAGGTTCACATATATGCGGTGCAGTATATTGCATGTGATTCACACAGCAACCGCACCGCATTCCTGTGCAAATCACATGCGATTTGTGTGCGGTGCGATAGGAGCCATACGTTTTGTATGGTCCTATATGCACCGCATCCGCACCAAAAATGTGCAGGACCCTTTTTTTGGGTTCGCACTATTTTATTTATGTCAGGTACTTATATAGAGCCGTCAATTTACATATATATTGTACATTCACATCAGTCCCTAACCCTCAAGGAGTGTACAATCTATAGTCCCTAACTCACATTCATACATACACATACTAGGGCCAATTAACCTACCAGCATGTCTTTGGAGTGTGGGAGGAAACCAGAGCACCCGGAGAAAACCCATGCAAGCACAGGGAGAACATGCAAACTCCATGCAGGAGGCGCCATGGTTGGGAATCTAACCCATGACCCATTTACTGCAAGGCAGACGTGCTAACCACTAAGCCACTGTACTGCCCCACTAGAATCGGATCGCATGGCTATTCACACCTATGCGATCCAATTCTGCACATCGCACTTAGTTTTGCGGACCGCTTTCGGTGTGTTGTTAACTTAACATACACACCTGCAATGCTTCGCATGAACAGGGTGCGATCCTGATGCGGTGCGGATTTCGCACTGAAAACGCTGCGAATTCCACACCGCATCAGTGTTAACCAGGGCTTAGGGTCAGTTCACACTACATGCGTTTCTGTTGCTTTTTTCTGCATCCAAAATGCACAGAAAGTAGGTTATGTGGTTGTCAGTGTCATAGTTCACATCAGTGCTTGCAGTTCCAGTGCGTTCTGGGTGCAGAAAAAAAAGTAGAACAGGCTGCATTTGTTCTGTGCAGGACTGTACTGGCAAGCAGTAAAACGCATAAAAAAAACAACACTGGAACGCACCAAAAACGCACATGTCCCATGTCCCTATTTAAACCCTTCATGCCGGCGCATCCCAGCCCTGTAAGGAGCTTCTGACGCGGAGGCAGGGCAGGGTTTAGGGTCATGTGACCGCCGTGATTGGCTGCCCACAGCAGTCACATGATCGGAAAGGTCCTGATTGCAAGGAGAGATTGGGACGTTTCCGTGGGATGCCAACACATGTGCTGTGAGCACACAGGGCGCGTGCTCTCAGCACATGTTTGCTTACAAATGGTACGCAAATATGCAGCTGCTCGGTGTCAAGGCCCAGCCTCTGAGAGGCCACATATTTACATACGCTCAGTGTTAAGAGGTTAAATTGAAGAAAAAGACGGGAAAAATTAACTGGAAAGCATAACAAACGCATCGGAATACGTAAAAAATGCATAAGAAATGCACCGGTACAAAATGCGCAACAAATGCGCATGCAGAAACTTATCTGAACTGCGTTTCTATGGGTCCAGTTCACACTACATGCATTTCAGTAGCTTTTTTTCTGCATCCAAAATGCACAGAAAGTAGTTATATGGTTGTCAATGTCATAGTTCACATCAGTGCTTGCAGTTCCAGAAAAAAAGTAGAACAGGCTGCATTTGTTCTGAACTGTACTGGCATGTGGTAAAGCGCATCAAAAACACACTGGAACACACTAAAAACGCACATGTCCCTATTTAAAACACTTCACGCTGGAGCCTTCCGGCACTTTAAGGGAATTCTGATGCCGGGAGGCAAGGCGGGGTTTAGGGTCATGTGACCGCCATGATTGGATGTCATGGCAGTCATATGATCGGAAAGGTCCTGATCGCAAAGAGAGATTGGTACCTTTCCGTGGGACCCCAACACATGTGCCGTGAGCGCACAGGGCGCGTGCTCTCAGCACGTTTGCTTACAAATGGTACGCAAATATGCGGCCGCCTGGCGTCAAGGCCCAGCCACCGAGAGGGTGCATATTTGCAGACGCTCGGTGTGAAGAGGTTGAATTGAAGAAAAAGAGAGGGGAAAATTAACTGGAAAGCATCAAAAACGCATGGGAATGTGCCAAAATGCATCAAAAATGCGCATGCAGAAACGGATTTAGAGCGCACAGGGGCGGACTGACAACTCATGGTGTCTCCGGGCAATAGGGGATCATGGGGCCCCTGTGTCCTTGCCCAAACTCAAAAAAGCCTATGAAAAAGGTACCAGGGTCATCTCATGGGGCCCCCTACTGACCCCGGGCCCTCGGGCAGTGCCTGAGTTTCCAAATGGTCAGTCCCACCCCTGACAACGCATCTGAACTGTGTTTCTATGGGGCCAGTTCACACTACATGCGTTTCTGTAGCTTTTTTTTCTGCATCCAAAACGCACAGAAAGTAGGTTATGTGGTTGTCAATGTCATAGTTCACATCAGGGCTTGCAGTTCCAGTGCGTTCTGGTTGCAGAAAAAAAAAAAGTAGAACATGTTTTCCTGCATAGAACTGTACTGGAATGTGGTAAAACGCATCATAAATGCACTGGAACACACATGTCCCTATTTAAATTGAATAAAAAGAGAGGGGAAAAATGAACTGGACTGCGTCAAAAACGTGCATGCAGAAACGCATCCGGAACGCATCTGGACTGCGTTTCTATAGTGTGAACCGGCCCTTACAGAGATGGCCAGTTTATGAAGGTGAGATCTGAAGATCTCACTGGCCGTCTCTGTAAAATATTTCCGTTCCAGATTCTCGAGCTCAGAGCTGGAACATGGATGAGGAGCTGCTGTGATGTGAGGAGGAAGGCTTCTCTCTTCCTAATATCAGCACCAGGGGGGTTAAACATTGATATCAGTGATAACTCTATATGTTTATGTATGTATGTGTTTTATATATACTGTACAGTGAATATATATATATACTAGTTATAATGTATTGTGGTTTAGGACCCATTCACACCTGTGCAATGCAGAATTGTTGGCAAAATTGTGTGATTTCAAATCGCTAAAATTGTGTTAAAATACGCAATGAGCTTTTGCCAT